TTAGATTTACAAATCTGTCTTGACTACTATGAGATTGCTCGCTTACCGGTTAGTGGTGCTCAGCCGTCGTCTCGTTATTCCCCTGACGATTCTACCCCGCGAATAATATACGGTCGTGCGAAGGCAGTACGTAATTAAGAAAACGATCCCGAGTCTCTCTGGAAACGCGCCACGATTATCTTCGGCGTGCTGATTCGGTTGAAGGTGTTCGAAGACGAAAGTCGTTCGTTTATGCGGATATGTATTGTGATTAAATAGTTTGGGAATATCCGCGGACAGTTAGGTGCTATGTCGAGAGTAAAGAAAGGTAACAAGTCCCGGATATTCCCTCGTTAAAGCAAAAGGCGGGCTCTGTATGTATATATCATGAGTGTATATTTTGTGTGTAGTGTTGTCGCATAGTGTGGCGTGAATGCATGTGCCGTGCACGTATGCGTGCGCGTGTGCGTGTGCGTGAGCGCCTCTCTGGCGCCTGCCGCCTATGAAAAATGAACCTCCCTCCCGGGCGCACCAGTATCATCGTCACTATCGTACAGATTGTTTCAACGGAGATCTTCCTCGTCTGCTTCGCCGCCGACAAAGCTCGAAAGGTGCCAGTGATGCTCATCAAAAGAAAAACGCCGGCCACTCGAGACAGGACTTGATCCTAAAGCACGAATCTCTAGAGGAGTAGGTTCGCGGGATCTTTCATGAAGACACAGAGCAATATTTATAAATTTATAAATATTGTGGATATAATGAAAATTGTATGTGTAATCTCTTATAATTTAATTGTTTCTTCTATCAGTTGTATCAGCAATTAAATGTAATTATTTCGCCACGTATCTATCTTAAAGAAGGATTTTCAAGTAATTCCATTTGCATTTGCTGTAAGTATTCAATTACATGTATAATTTTACCTTGTGTGCTTTAAAAGATATTGCGCAAAATCTGACACCGCACATTTGTTAGTCAACAATGTGTACAGAGCGAGAGCCGCGTGTGTTATTTTGATGCGGATGATTTTCATTTTCCCTTAGTCACGTAAGAGTCCGCTCTCGAAACGTTCGCATGATCTACGTAGATTAGCCATGGTTTTCAAATTGGTTTCTCGGCCAATGAGCCGGGTGTGTTTTTAATGGTTCGCGCGGCGCGGCTTCTTCTCTGGGATGCCTCTCCTCTCTCGGGTAATCTTGAAGTCAGGACTCAAGATCCACTGGAAGTATTGCAAATAAGATGTATTCACAGAGGAAAGATCGGTCGAGCGGTCGTTAAAAGCGGTCGTTTCTACATACGTGCCGTGCCGCGTGGCAGTTTTCAGTCGGTTCGCAGCTCGCGGCTCGTTCATAATCATTGATAATTCGCAGTTGCGATATTTCCCATTTCTCGCAATACCCAATCGGCCGGGACGATCTCGATCGCACTAATGAATCGAGAAACTTCACTTCCTTGGTTTCGCGCGAGGGCTGATATTTCCTCTCCTTAATCCTTTCAGCAGATAATCGGTCGCGATGAATATCGCGACCACGACGATCGGGGTAAGACATTACCTCGATGACAGGTGTCTCTAACCACAGTAACTCTCTCTCACTGTACAGCTCCAGGCCAGGAAGACCCCCAAAGCGAGCTTCCGTTGGGCTGAGCCTCGCGGCCAGCCACCTAGCCGCGGCGGCCGGCCATCATCCGCAACATTCCCTGAAGAAGCACAGAATGGACAACGGCGATTATTACGAGAACGGACACCTCGGTGAGTACCCAGCATTTTATTTTATGTTAAAACAATTTGCATAAAGTTACCTTTCAATCAACCCTTTAAACTCGGGAATGTTTATTATCGGAAGAGTGACAGTAAGATCATTATATCATCGCTTTAATTTAATGTACTTTTCGAATGATAAAAAAAAAATGGTAAATCTGAAAGTTCTCGATTTCCGATGGAGATTTCTGGCGGATGGATCTAGACGCATAAACACAAAACGGTTGAGCGTGTGGTTATGCCAAATAGAGCACGTACGTGCAAATAGACGTACGTAGCGAGGGCCACGCGCTTGATTACTGCCATCCGTATATACGCTCTGGCATACGGTGACCCTACCGATCAATTAATTAGGGGAATCAAACACACTTGGAGTGAGCAAATTAACTGCGACTGCATCGTCGTGTTGCGGCCTGCGGTGGCGGTCGCCGATGCTCGGGATATCGTACGATCCCTTTACGTACGCAAATGGCACTCGCGCTGTCTTCGCATTCCCCACGCCTGGATTCCGATACAGGAAGTGGTTCCCCGATTCCGGTCTCCGGTCTCGATTTATCCCCGGCCGTGTGGCGGCGCCGCGTCGTTTATGGCTTTACACATTCGCCACGCGCTGTATGGCCATCGCCATATCCAATCAATCATTAACAATCGGATATTTCATAAATTATTAATATTTAGTATTATTAATAACGGAACGCGATTAATAATGTTATAATCTCGCACGATTTCGTTTATCCTTGCGCGATATTCATCGCTCGCTGTGAACATCCGGAAGATCGATAAACGCGCATACAATATTCATTGGTTTATTTGCGCGGACTCTTTGTGCTCTTCGATAGCGCTTTGAAGGGTGTCCGTTGGGATGCGCTTATTTCGCAGATATTATATTATCATCGGGGGACACGAGAGAGAGAAAGAGAGGGAGAGAGAGAGAG